GTCCTGCTGCAGAAGCCGGGACGGCCTGCCGAATCGGTCGCGGCCTACAGGCCTATCGCAGCCCAGCTGGACGAGGCGGGTTAACTTTTTGAGAGGGTACTCTCTGCCCGCATCGTCCGGCACCTTTGCGAGGTTGGCCCCGATCTGTCGGACGCCCAATTCGGTTTCCGAGAGGGGCGTTCGACGATCGATGCCATGATGCGCCTTAGGGCCGTGAGCGAGGAGGCCGTGAGCTGCGGTGTTGAAGGTGTCCTTGGACATCGCCAACGCCTTCAATAGTCTGCCATTCAGCTGCATCAGGGAGGCGCTCCGCTACCACGGAGTGCCGAAGTACCTGAGGCGGCGGGTGGCAGACTATCTTGAGGAGCGAACCGTCATGTACGAGGACCGAGATGGCGTCTTGAGACGCAGGGCCATGTCGTGCGGTGTTCCGCAGGGGTCTGTCCTAGGACCTCTCCTGTGGAACATCGGGTACGACTGAGCCCTACGAGGGCGTCTCCCCCCCGGGCTGGGTGTCATCTGCTACGCGGATGACACTTTAGTCATGGCCCGGGGGGCTAACTTCCAGGAGACACAGACACTGCCTCCGCCCTAGGGCGACTTTTGCCCAATTTGGGCGGGGCCAGTGTTCCCACGAGGCGGCTATACGCGGCGGTTGTCCGGTCCATGGCGCTGTATGGTGCACCTCTGGCGCCCCCAGAGGATATTGGCGGTCAGAGCCATACGCGGATACCGCACGGTGTCCACCGAGGCGGCTTGCGCCTTGGCCGGAACACCCCCGTGGGATTTGGAGGCGGAAGTGCTCGCCGAAGTTTATCGGCGAGTGGCTGACTTCCGGGCGGAGAGCGGATTTCGCCCTCCGCCCGAAGACGTGCGCGAGTGGCGCGAAGCCGCTCGCCGAGCCACCATGGTCAGATGGTCGTTCCGGCTTGAGACTCCACGCGCTGGCTTCGCCGCCGTGGATAGCTTGAGCAGCACAAACGTCCTACTATTTAAAACAGAGCAGAACAACGTACCTAAAATTTACCTTTTTTTTGTTTTTTTGTTGGCGCGATGGAAAATCCCTTCGGATCTCCTGCTCCTCGGAGACTCAGGAGCCAGGAGTATGTTGTGATTCCACTAAAAAAACACTGACGGCCGGCCTCAGACGTCCTACTCTGGGAGGACCCGGACCATGTTATTTCATGTCCTCCCCGAATTGACACCATGCCTAATCAGGCCCTATCTCAGGGGAAAACACGTCCCCCTTCAAGCGCGGCGTGGCAGCCCGATTGCATCTTAATTTAATCAGGCTACCATTCTATCCCCTACCGCAGCAATCAATCTGCCAGATACTAATCAACCCTACATACATCCTAGCTAACTAATGATATTTTAAGGAAGATACGTTATATTCATAATGCACGCACAAAATATTTGTTCCGTAACCGTACTATCATCTCGAATCTATTAATGCATTTTAGAACAAAACATACACTTACCTGTGGTATGATATTCCTTTATCTTTAGTTACCTTTTTGTCGTAATTTGTGTACTTTCAGAATACACAAGAAGGTATTGTATGAATTTTCTCGTATAAATTATGTAGTACGTGCGCTCACTCGTAGTGGTCCTAATTAGGACCCTCACGTTTTGTGTGTCGGTGGCGTATCTACCTCTTGTTTGTATTATAATATCTTTGATCCTAACTTATAAATGCAAAAGTAAGTGAGTTTGTTTATTTATATGTTTCTTGTTATTTTACGTCTCAACTACTTAACGTTGACCATGAAATTTTACAATCTCCAAACCATAAAGGCCGGCAACGTGCTTGTGATTTCCAATTTTTAGGTGGCAGCTCAGGTATTGCGGTAGTCACTTTCCATCAGGTGAAACGTCTGATCGTATTACATTACCTACATTATTAAAAAAAAACACCTTGTCTAAGGTTACAGAACAGGATCTAAAGTACTTTTTTTTAACCACATTCACACAACGCCATCTAGTCCCAAATTAAGCAGAACTTGTACTGTGGTTACTAGACAACTGATATATTTTTTGTAAATAAATACATATTATACATAGAAATACCCAGACAAAATCAAACATTAAATGCTCAAGCACACAAGTGTTTGACTTGAGCGGGAATTGAACCCGCGTCCTTTGGCGAAGCTGTCCGATACACAAACCACTACGCCACCCTACCGCCTTACAGACATTTATTAGAACAAAAAAATCCTGTTCTCGAGATACAGATAAATAACTTGGGCGAGCCTGTTGGTCTAGTGGTTAGTGACCCTGACTGTTGTGCCGGGTTCGATTCCCACCCACGACAAATAATTGTGTGATGAGCGCGATGATTTGTTTTGTGTCTGGGTGTAATTTATGTATGACATGTACGTATTAGGTCCTTACACATGAAATTACTCGTAGCGTTTTGTCGTACTGACCACTTTGATCTGAAATATTTCCTCTTTGGTTAAGAATTCCAATTTCAAATTTATAAATTCATTTATCTGGTACATTCGAGTTTTGAAAACAGTCTTTTATTTGTTTTTTCCTCATTTTTTTTTTGGCGTCGTTTATTACCAGACTACATGAAAACATGAAATATCGGTATATTTATGAGTACGAGTTCTACCGTGGCACCAGTGCTGCAGTAACAGCTAGAAGGATTAATGATGTATACGGCTCTGCTGCGCAAAAGAAAGCACGGTACGTTTTTGGTTTCAACGTTTTCGTTCTATAAATTTCGACCTTCATAACCAACCCCGTGGACGGCCGGAGACCAAAGTGAAAAATTAAGAATTAATGGAATTAATTGTGGAAGCGGATCCATCACAAAGCACTTCAGAGATAGCTACAGGCTTCGGGGTAAGTGATAAAACTGTATTAATCCACTTGAAGCCAATCGGGAAGTAAAAAAACTTGAACGATGGATAGATACCTCATGAATTGAGTAAACCAAACTTGCAAACACGCGTATACTGCTGTGTTACTTTGGTCAACCGACACAATAATGAAAGGATTATAAATGCAATCGCAATGGCTGAACCCTGGAGACCCACCCAAATCCTGCCCTAAACGAAAATTGACTCAGAAAAAGTTACTTGTGAGTGTTTGGTGGACAAGCGCCGGTGTCGTTCACTACTGCTATCTAAAATCTGGCCAAACAATTACGGCAGATATCTATTGTCAGCAACTGCAAACCATGAAGGAAGAACTAGCTGCTAAACAACCGAGATGGGTCAATCGCTCTAGGCCATTGCTGCTTCACGACAACGAAAGACCACACACTGCACAACAAACAACCACTAAGTTAGATGAGCTACAATTGGAATTTTTGCGACATCCACCGTACTCCCTGGAACTTGCTCCAACACATTACCATTTTTTCCAGAATTTGGACAACTTCTTACAAGGAAAAAAATTCAACTCCGAAGCGGCAGTCCAAACCGCCTTCAAAGAGTTTATTGATTCTCGCCCCCATCGTTTTTTTAGGAAAGGGATCAATGATCTACCTATGAGGTGGCAAAAGTGCATAGATAACAACGGTACATACTTTGATTAATTAAATATATTTTACAAAAAAAAAAGACTTTACATTCCACCCGTACAAAACGCCAATTTCATATGTAGAAATATATGTATAAGTATGTTTATCAGCAGTCTGGTTACCATAGTACAGGCTCTGCCTAGTTTGGGATCAGACGGCTGTGTGTGAGGTGTGTCAAGTTATTATTATTACCAAAACATTACGATTCTACTATTTTGTTCTTAGTTCTTAAATATTTCTTGAGCTTGTAGGTATGATTAATGCACTATATACATTAATGATTGGCAACGCTAATCACCATCCAAGAAGACTATTCAAGACTTTCCAGAGCATATTTTAATCTAATTTTGAAATGTAAAATCTTTAGGGTTCTCATATAAAAACCTTTAGAGATGAATTGACTACAATGATAGTTCAAGTTATACTGAACAATGAAATAACACAAGACATTCAAAACGATCAAAGTTCGACGCCAGGCGATGTATATTGTATGTACATATCATCAAACCTCATGGTACAAAATTTACACTATACTAAATATAAACTAATAAATTAACCATAATTAATTACATTTACAACAAAAATATGCCTATACTTAGTTCAATTTTTCATAAGCTACAGTTGGCCTATTTCAAATACTACGTACCTATTTATATACGACTTAAAATCACACGACCATTAGGTATTATTGACCCAACCTCATTATCAAACTGTATACGATAAATTTCATAACTAATTACATCTAAAATTAACTAACACAGCAGTAAGAAACACATATATAAATCAATTAAGTCGTCTTCATTCTGCTCCGAGCATCTGACTACTCTAATTAACCAAACTAACTAAATAATTATAAGAATTAATGTGCCTGCGCATATATCAACCAACTCCTCTTATAAATCTCCGTTTGATGTCCAGGAGACTGCGTGCGCGCATCCCGGCCACGCCCACATAACGCTGATTGGCCCGACTCTAATTATAACTTTGTGACTCTTCATGAGCTATTTGCATCGTTTAACCACGACCATTATAAAATAAACCCTAATTTTATTAAATAAAGATAATTTTTGAATGTGTTTAATTCGAAAATACTGTCATCTAGAAAGACGCCCATTAGTAAAGGCTCTCAATCTTCATTCGAACCAGACGTACGGCTGCCAGATATTACTAATTTTGACAGGCATTCCATTTTGAACTTTAATCTAATGAAAATAAGATGGTTAGATGACAATGTGTGCTTGAAGTCGATTATGTTTTTGAAAAGAGGTAGTTAAAATTCCGTCCTCAGTTTCAGCCGACGAATTGACAAAAACGCATCGTCGAGCTTTCCTATTAGTTTAAATTATGGGACATTAAATCGTTGGACGCTTAAAGTGTGATTCAAAATGTCTCCCAACCTCCTCCAGAGCGCACGTTGACATAACAACGAAATTAATTAAATAAAAATATAGTGAAAATAGTCACAATGGAGTATTCTACAATGGAGGTTGATGAAATAAAATCTGAAAGACATGACGTAAAATTGCCCTTTTCCATAGATAATTTATTGGCTGATAAATTTGAAAAATGTAATTCGAATGACTGTGAAGCGTCGACTAGTGCGGTGATCAGTGATTTGAAAAGTAATTTTATTAGTGATGTGTCCGATAATGTGGATTCTGATGACGATAGGTGTAGCAATAGCTCTGAAAATGTGGACGTTGAAAGTTCTACAGTTGGAGATGCGCAGGAGTTTCTCGACGCTAAGACTGCTGATTATGGACAATCAGGTATTTATTACATTTGTATATCTTTATCAGTTATTTTTTCCTGGTAACATACACACTCACGACTTTGCCCCAAAGGAATACAGACGCACCTCCCAAATTTTCAAAGCCTATATTTTGCCGTCATAACAATATTATGATTGATAAACAAATCAAGGACAAACTATGGGAATAAAACATTGGCAATCATTTTGTTTCTCCCTTAAAACACACAGACACACTTTACTCAAAAATCATGCATACAATGCTCTCCGCATCCAGTATAATATCGTGTTTCGGGAGGCTCGCTTCTGCAACGCATCAGGGATGTTTGTGGAGGCTTATATTGACTGTTTCTATACCGTCATGCGAAAACGGTACGCATCAAAAACAAAGTTATAAGATACGTCTACCATTAACATAAGCCTACACAGTTAGTCACAATAAGTAAAAAAATGTAGGTACTATAATATTTTTACCCCTTTCTTTATCTTTACATATTTAATTAATTAAATCTATACTAATATTATAAAGCTGAAGAGTTTGTTTGTTTGTTTGTTTGAACGCGCTAATCTCAGGAACGATTTTATCGAGGAAGGCTATAGGCTATATATCATCACGCTAAGACCAATAGGTTGCGCGGGTCAGCTAGTTATAATTATAAAATTATTAAAATTACTTGCCCTGACTGACTGACTAATTTATTAATGTAGAGCCTAGGACAGCAGCAACTAGCAGGAGCTAGAAACTCAACATTTTGGCAGCTGATGCTTTTTATGTTGTAAGTACCCACTAAGAAAGGATTTTTTTAAATTTCACCCCTAGGAAGGGAAAATAAGGGATGAACGGTTGTGTGGAAGTTCATGATTTTCAAAGTTAGAAATACGAAAAAATGCTACACGCTACCGAAGCCACGGGCAATAGCTGGTTATGGGTATGAGATTTCAAAAGTAGTTAAGCAGCTTGCGCTACTTAGAGATACACACAATTAAAGTGTTTGTAATGTCAAAATCGGTTTGTTATAATCGTGGATTATAACAAAGCGTTTGAGTCTCTAAAACACGCAAAAATTTCGGAAGCCTTGGAATAGGATGACAAGGAGTGGAGAAAAAGTATATTCGATTGATTATCAACATATAATAGGTCTTTACCTTTAAAGGTAAAGACCTAATATAAGAACATGAAAGCAAAAATAAGAACTGAAAGAGATGGAGATTTTTTTACGATTAAAAGAGGAGTAAGACAAGGAGATCCATTGTCACCCAAACTTTTTTCAGCTGTTCTCGAATACGTGTTTAGACACCTCGAGTGGCATAACTACGGCTTAAATATCAACGGAGTGCGACTAAACCACCCAAGATTTGCAGACGATCTAAAAATAATTTCCGGAGATTCAAAAAGTTTACAAAAGATGTTAGAACAACTGGTGTAAGAAAGTGATAAAGTAGGACTGTCCATGAATACGGCAAAAACCAAAACAATGTCAAACTCGGTAAGCATCCCTATTACTGTTAACAGAAAAACCATAGAATATGTGAGGCAATACACGTACCTCGGACAGACCATATCTCCAATAGACCTAACCACGAAAGAAATTAACAACAGAGTTACTTTGGCATGTAAAAGATACTGGTCTCTCAAGGAGGTAATGAAAAACCCACTCGTACCACTGAGAGCGAAGAGCAAAATATTTAATTCGTGTATTCCGCCTGTCATGACATATGGATGCCAAACCTGGAGCTTAACTAATCAAAACTAACATACATAAATTAGAAACTTGCCAACACAGTATAGAACGAAGCATACATCAAATTAAAAGATAAAATAAAACTGGATACTATAGGCAGAAAACTAGAATCACAGATGTTACCTATTGTATTAAAAAGCTAAAATGGAGGTGGGCAGGACATATGATTAGAAGTAATAAGAATAAATGGTCTAAGGACATAACGGAGTGGTGCCCTAGACAATACAAAAGAAGGAAAGGGAGACAGCGTCGTAGATGGGAAGACGAGATTAAAAAAATTGCGGGACATGCTTGGCAAAGACAAGCGCATAATCGCATTCGATGGCGAACTCTAGGGGAGGCCTATGCCAGACAGCAAGACAATCTTCACGTACCGGTGTCAAACAATTAAATAAGATATTGTAACTATATTGTAAGAAAGATTGTAAAATAAAGGCTATTATTATTATAATGTCAAAATAATAGATTTTTTTCATGCTCACATGGTTATTTGTACGAGACCTATGCCTATAAACCAGTTTACATTGTTTTTGTCTGTCTGTCTGTTTGTTTTGGGAATGATCTAAAGGGCTGCGCTGATTTTAAAAATATTTTACTACCTGGTAGCTGTCTACATAAGGAGTAACTTGGGCAATTTTTCCTAAGAAAAACCCTATAAAATTTTGCCAGGTCCGGGAATCGAACCCACTAAGGTAGCGCTTTTCAAATTCCACGCGAACGAAGTCGCGTGTACCCGCTAGTAGTAAATATTCTCGTATATAGATAGATACAGTGTCATGAACTAACAATGTAGACCTTAAACATACAAACCCAAAAAGACTTGTACCCTACCAAAAGGACAACTTAAAAAATCAAGTCTGACTAGTCGCAACGCATATGTTGTGACATTACTATTGTTGTTTTTTTTTTGCAACATTTGAAAGTATTAATATTGGACATTTTTTTTTATAAACAAAACGACTTGACAATTGCAATGTAACAATAATCTAATCATTTTCATTGATTGCTCCTTCTGTTTTTTTTTCTTTGCGGAACTCCCCTCGGATACCATCCACCGGTGGGGTGGTTATGTCGGACTCGAACCGACCAAAAACCGCACGCTGTCTTCTGGTACCAGTAGCCGGGGAACCAGGTATACCCTAGAAAGGAAAGCCCTGGTACCTTGATTGCTCCCCTTGAGAATTAAGGGAGGAAGAAGGGGTTGCATCTGCGGTAAGCTCACTCACATGGTGAAAAGCAGAAAAAAATAATTCTCAACATCGACTTTTTGTGAATCCGTGTTATCACCGTGTGCCGAGTTCATTTCTTTTAAGATGAAGCAGACAACTTCATACGTTTAATAACGAATTAACTACGGTTGGTCTGCACCAACCTTTGGGGCTTTGGGGGTGGCGAGCAGGGCAACCACGCAGGGCCTCGCTCGCCACCCCCAAAGTTTCCACCCCCGAAATTTTGGGCCTCACGTCGCACATTATACTCACTTCACGCTACTCGCGTTCTCTTGCGTGATAGTTATCGGGGTGTTTACCATTTATATTCGGGAGTTTCCCGTATTTAATTTCACCTGTCATTTTAACAAGCTGTCAGCGTCAACTATCGTCGGCTTATGCTTTTCTGTTCGAGTAGCAGTATGTGTTGCGTTGCATGTTATGTTTAAAGTTTCATTATTTAAATGAATTCCATAAAGACAAGGACCTCGCAATAAGGCCGTGACTAAGGCCGCCACTGGGTTGGTGGTTCGGTTATCCCTAGTATACAATAATAGTAAACTACTATCTACTTACTACTACTAACCTATTTACTATAAAAAAACCTTTAAAAACGATTCTGCGCTTTAGAAGTTAAATTAATATATATTCTTAGCATAACTACCACACTGACAGCAAAATGTTTTTATTTTTTAAATAATGAAGTGGATTCTAGATGTGCTAATTTATAAAAAAAAAGAATAGCTCCTGTCATTGAATTTATAAAGCTACTTGTAATAAATAAGAGACGTAGCGTTAAGCAAAATTGGTGTAAAAATTAAATAGGAACAAAATTACTTTAAAGCTTTCGCGTTCCAAGATATATAATAAGGATGTTACTCTTTGAATGCAATAATAAACAAAATCATAATATGAAGTAACTAAAATAGTTTAGGCAATAGGCCATCGAAAATTGTTCGTTTCACTTTATTCATTTAGATATTAAGTTATACAATCCATTTTAAAGTTTCCACTTTTTAAATATGTTGTATGTATGCAGAACACAGTGAGATATTAAACGATTCAGTTAGTAAAAAAACTATGCAAATTTTTAATTTCATTGTAAACTTTGTAAAATATTTCATAAAGACAGATAGTATCTACAAATCCACCAAAATGTTATCAATAACTTGTATTATCTACTTGTTTTATTGTATTTCTTTTTGGTATTGTCACAAAGAAAATCACGCATATTCCAGAAAGTTCGATTAACCGCGCAATTTTGGGAACCGTTACAACCGGAAAAATAAGTTAATATTACGCATGACATCGAAAATTTATTGTCATTTATTGTATTTCTCAGAAGCGGACGGTTCTCGTAGGGATTGGAATTTGCTAGAATGGTCTTTTACGAGTATTATAAATACGGACCAGTCTTCTTAGGTGTTTAGTTCAGTTCGAGCTACAGTGCGATTAATATCGAAGCGATTGAAGTGAGTAGAAGTGTGACCCAGCGACCTCGCCGATCATTCCAGACTATTCTTGAGTATTGTTTGAACTTTTTTAAGTGCAGTGATAATTAAGTCTCTTTAGTCGTCCGAAGGCTTATAATTCCAAATCAACGAACCCTTTTTTCTTTTTTTTTGTTGACGAGGTGGAAAATCCTCCTCCTCCGGATCCTTTGGAATGTAGAAGCCAGGAGTATGTGGTATTTCCACAAAAAGCCACCCCGACGGCCGGACTCAGACGCCTACTCCGAGGAGGTCCGAGGTATTTCAGGTCCCCCCTATCGACGCCGCGCCTAGTAAAGCCCTATCCCGGGGACGCTGCAAATCAACGAACCCTAACACGTAACACTATAAAGTAAGCCCGACGTTTTCTTTACCAAATTACGTAATGTTAACACATTAATACCTATAGCAAGTATCTCTGTCACCAATCATGGGAATCCTTATTTTACTGGCACCTAAATTGCAATAATTTGTGCTCTAACCATTGAGTTATAATGTACTATTATTTCAATGGCTTTTACTACCGACATGGCACATCCGCATGTATCCCTGAGTCCAGTGGCTGTGGCACTAATATCG